AGAATTTTTATATAATATAAATACTTCTCTTCGTTAAATTTCGAAATCGGCTCTTTAATAGTGATAAACGAGTCGAACTCGAGCTCGATTTCTGGCTCATTTATTTTACGAGCCGAACTCGGCTCGACTCGTTAAAGGTTCAAATTCAGCTCGTTTACAAACCTGGCCACAAGTCAGTGGCGCTGATTTTGAGCTCCAACAGAGCTCTACAATCTTGCGCCATAGATATGGAGACGTCGCCCACAATTTTTTTTTATTTTTCATTATATTTTTATTTTCTGGTGGGTAATTTTAAGGTTTATATGATTTTTGTATTCTATCAAATAATTTTAGCTCTGCAAATATAATTGGGTATCTATTTCTATTGTATGTAATTATGCATACTACAATCATTTATTGCTATTTACTTATATTAAATCTACAAATAATACGTATCTATATATTTATTTTCTATGTTCTATTGATTAATATTTTGGAAAATAGTTGGTAAAAACTTTTGTAAATAAATAAAAATATTATGGTATACATTATTTCTTGATAATTATTTAATTTTACTTTAGTTAAAAATATACTTTAGTATAACAATGAGAATACAAGTAAAAAAACTAAAGTAAAATGTGGTGCAAACGGTTAAATAGACTATAAACTCATCTCTATTGTGTTGGAATTTGTAACTGTCCGATCATATTTTCTTGCTCAGCTTCAATTGCTGGGGGATTGTTGCGATATTGATTTGCAGGCAGGCCCGGCCCGATAAATGTATTTTTCATTTTTGCGTTGGTGCAGAATTTAAAGGGTTTTTCTTACAATATCTGTAACCATTTTATATCAATATATATTATTTCCAGGTGTTGAGCTTTTGTAAGAGAGAAATGTAAGATATAGCAGACATTTTCATATGCTTAAACTAAAAGATAACATTAACACCTTTCATATGTATTAAAATAAGCCATTGCGTAATTCAGTGTGTTCGAGAAATGGTATAACGAAGGATGTTGGTCTGAATATTTTGAATTTTTTATAGCTAGATATTTAATTTATGTAAAAATATTACGTTAACTAGTACAACGCCCGTATATTATTCGGGTGCTTGTTAATTTTTTTTCTTAAAATCTAAAATTAATGAGAAAAAGTAATTGAAAATTCAAATACATTTTATACAAATATATATATTATTATATATTTAGTACGATACTTTTTATTTGTGCGACTTACATGTGTTATGTTATAATATTTTTTTAACTGACAACATATAACTACATTAAACATAATATATGAACTGAGAAATAATTTTATTTTTCTAATGAATTTTAATAAATAATATTATTTTTTAATATTATAAACATAAATATAATTTATTTTTATATATACAATATGGATGTCATCATAAAAAGATGATTAAATTGATATATTATATATGCAAAACCGATAAGAAATATAAAAGTTATCAACTTTTGAAATACTTTTATAATTCAATAGCTAATTGAAGGAAACAAATCAAATGTCAGGGATATATTAGTCACTTAGTGTCTTACTATGTAAAATTACAAATAATTAAAGGGTTATATTAATACAAGTGATATTAAAATATTTAAGTTAGCTAAATAATATTTATAGAATGTCCGAACCTAGATTATTAATTATTAATATATCAATATTATTTGTTCAAACCTAATTACGAAGTATGATTCTTCGTCAAGTAGGATTCTGAAGCACCAGAAACAGCCACGTAGGCTCAACGTATTCGAGAATTATATATAGGGGAGGGGATAATAATACACATATATTTGTGTTATAGTTATTTTCTCAAAAGTTAATTATTTAGTTAAAAATTAAATGTTAGACGTAGGAATTTGGAAAGTCTAATAAAAATAAGCCATGAACATGAACCTTGTTTGGCTGATGTCATGGCTCAAACAAGACTGAATTGTATACTATTACATTTCATACTTCTTATGCTTACTTTTTTTTCCCCCTTAATTTATAGTGTTGTTTCTATTATGAACTGTGTCCTTTATGGTATTGAGTTTCGTCGTGGTCTATCAAGGTAAATTAATCAACAATCCAAATAAGTTAATTTACCAGTACTAATTTGAATAGCTCTATCACTTACTTTCATCAACACCTCGTTAGAGCTATAAACGAATCGAGCTGAACTCAAGCTTAAAGTACTCGAGCTCTTAACGAGTCGAGCTGAGCTCGGCTCGTTAAATAAACGAGCCAAAATTTGAGTTCGGGCTCGAGCATCAACGAGCCGATCTCAAGCTTAAAGTACTCGAGCTCTTAACGACGAGCTGAGCTCGGCTCTTTAAATAAACGAGCCAAAATTTGAGTTCGGGCTCGAGCATCAACGAGCCGATCTGAAGCTTAAAATACTCGAGCTCTTAACGAGTCGAGCTGAGCTCGACTCGTTAAATAAACGAGCCAAAATTTGAGTTCGGGCTCGAGCATCAACGAGCCGATCTCAAGCTTAAAATACTCGAGCTCTTAACTAGTCAAGCTGAGCTCGGCTCGTTAAATAAACGAGCCAAAATTTGAGTTCGAGCTCGAGCATCAACGAGCCGATCTCAAGCTTTAACGAGCTGAACTATAAAAAATTATTAAAAAATTTAAATTTCGAGCCTTAACTCGTTAACCAATCAATCTTTAAATGAGCTTGAGCTCAACACGTTAAGGTCTCGAACTCGAGCCTTAACGAGTCGAGATCGAACCGTAACAGGCTCGTTTAATTTAACAAACAACACGTTAAGGTCTCGAACTCGAGCCTTAACGAGTCGAGATCGAACCGTAACAGGCTCGTTTAATTTAACAAACAGCACTACTCGTAATCACCTAAACCAATAGGACCCATTTTTTTTTTCTGATACAAATATTAAGTATTTACCAAAATATATTGCAACCTGCGCATCTTAACAGGCCAATTTAGTACACAAACAATCTCCGTTTTCACATAGAAATAGTAAAACGGACAAATGCTCAAAAGCCATTTTGCAATACAGAAGAGTAGTAACTGTGAAGAACATTTTCTTGTAATTGTTCGCATAGCATTCTACACCTCAAATTATTTATCATTTTCAAATGTTTCAAGGTAATTAAAAGCTCATAAAATTACATTTACCCTTATTCAAGTCTAATAAAAAAAAAATAAAAAAAATCTTTCACTAATTAAGAGCATGTTCCGAATTTCTATACCATTTTAAAGCAAATTTATATATATGATTTTAAGTTTTTAACCCTCCAAAGCGAATTCCTACACAAAATAAAACTGGTAATATATTAGCATAATTCTTCTCAAAGACTCGATCGATCTTCCACATAAAACCTCAAAATATCAATATAATTTAACAAAACAATTTTTTTTT